CTGTATATGATCCTTTAATGTCACATAATGGTGGATATGGATCTACAATGCCCAAGTCACACAGATTCTTCAGAGCCATCAAATATTTACTTTCTCCCAAGCGATCAAGCCATCTGCGGCAGAAGGCAAGGGTGCCAAAGTTGTCACTGATGACATTTAGCAAGTGTTTTGTTCTTGGAAGCCTTATCAGCACATGTCCAACATCAAAATTTTTCATGTAATGTGAACATTCCACGTCGTCATGAACAACACCTTTTCCTGCACTACCAAAGGTTTCCATTGCATACACTTCTCCTTCCTCCATTCTTGTTGCCTCTCCTCCTTTCACAATGGGCACTGTTTTCCCAGGATGTGTTCTATATTGCCCAATTGAATGTCCATTTAGATTATGGATTGGTTTCACTTGATATGTCTTCCCATCTATTTCAACTTCATAGGATTCCATAACTTCTTGGGTGGCCTCCCCAACATCACATAGACGAACATCAATTCCAGCACACTTTATTCCAGTATTGGTAGCATCCTTTACAGCTTTTAATAACGTATCATATTTGGGATTAAAAGTGACAGTAAAAGCACAGTCAATAATCCTACCACTTATGTGTGTTCCAAAATCTATCTTACAGATGTCATCATACTGTAATACTGTTGTGTCACCAGCATTGGGAGTATAATGGGCAGCACAATTATTGAGAGAACACCCAGTAGGAAATGCCAGGCCTGCATTTAATCCATTCTCTTTTATTCAATTTGCGTGAACAGTCTTCTAACTTTTCGCAGATTTCTATCATTGTCCTCCCAGGCTTGATCCAGCTCATAACATATTTTCTAACTTGTCGATGTGCTTCTGCAGCTTCTCGAAAATCATTCCAAATCTCTTCACTGGCCTGATCTAAGGCTTTCTTTTCTTCCCTTGTAGTTCTCCAAGCAGCTGTTCGCCCATCTTGTGTGGGTGGGTATTCACACTCTTGTCCTTTGGGAAATACACCATTAGGATACAGGTGACATATTGGAACTGAGGGAGGGTCTGTTTGAACTTTTGATCCTCTCTTCTTCTTCTTCTTCTTCTTCTTCTTCTTCTTCTTCTTTCCGGTTGCTCCATCCCCATCACCATCTCCATCTTCATCATCTTCATCTCTTTCTTTCTCTTCCAATGCTTGTTTTTCCAATTGTCTTGCTACCTCATCGACTGAGGCTCCTGATTCTTCATCAGGTTCTTGTTGCCCTCCTGCAGTAGCCCCTTTACTCTTCTTCTTCCGTCTTTTTTTCTTGGCTGCTTCTTCGGCCCTAGAGGCAGCTTCCTCCTCCCTGTCGTCTGGATCCAAGTCACCATTCAGGTGGCTCCCGGAGGCCGCTGCCTCTTCCACGCCTGCCGTGTTGCCCAAGAGCGCGCGAGGGACTGAGTGAGACTTTTGTTTATTATACAGCAAAAGTAGACTAATATAGCAGCTGTGCTCCACAAAGGGAGCCAGGGTTGGTTTCCCTCTATCTTCTTGCTCCACCATCCCTAGAGTGTTGTCCTAATCTATATGGTCCAGGATGACTCGGCACCATATCACAGTACAGTTATCAGGAGGAAAGTCACTGGTTTCCTTTAAGGCCATGACCCATCACTTATATTAACAACCCATTGGCCAGAACTTAATCACATTATTACATCTACCTGCAAGGGAGACTGGGCAATGTAGCCTTATTCTAAGCCAGCGGTTCTCAACCTGTGGGTCACGACCAACAGGGACTGTATTAAAGGGTCGCAGCATTAGGAAGGTTGAGAACCACTGTTCTAAGCAGTCCTATACTTAGCTAAAAATTCTTTGACATTGGAAAAAAGGTTGGGGGAACAACCAACAGCTCCACAAAATAATCAAAATTCAGAATTTGATTTGAAGTGGTATCTTGTCCCCTCTCCCAGTTGGATCCTGCTGCCAGTGAGAAGCTTGGGGCCAAGGAAAAAGTTGGCTTTCTGTCCCTTAGGCTGCTAGTTCTCCTACCTGTCTTGCTAACCACAGCTTCCCTAGGAGTGAAGAAAGTAGGAATGAAAGTGGGCAAGTTATTGCTTTACTGATCTTGTCATGTTTTTTGTTTGTTGTTTTTGTTTTTTGTTTTTTTTTGAGACAGAGCCTCAAGCTGTCACCCTAGGTAGAGTGCTGCAGCATCACAGCTCACAGCAACCTCCAACTCCTGGGCTCAAGCTAGTCTCCTGCCTCAGCCTCCCAAGTAGCTGGGACTATAGGCGCCTGTCACAACGCCTGGCTATTTTTTGATTGCAGCCACCATTGTTGTTTGGTTAGCCCGGGCTGGATTTGAACCAGCTAGCTCAGGTGTATGTAGCTGGTGCCTTAGCTGTTTGAGCCACAGGCGCCGAGCCCCTGTCATATTTTTGTCTTCTCTGGCCATGGCAGAAGCCTAAAGTAGGCTCTTTGTCTTGTAATTTCTTTTGTGGGCTCTCTTGAAGAGTCAATAGTATATCTCAGGACAAAAATGATGCTCTTTCCCCTGTCTGGCCTTTATCTCCTCAACCCCGATCTCTCTTACGTTTCAATACTGCTCTGAGTCCTCTTTTGCTTGTCAGTGCCTTCTATGTGACTGGCATCCAAATGCTGGCTCTCATGGGGTCAGTGTGATTCTTCAGGACCCTCTTCACTGCACAGTTCTTAGATTTGGACTCAATCTTTTCTCATTTCTTCTCAGCCCCTGCCTTTTTTATGGAATACCCACATTTCTTAACTGCCAAGATCCCCTCACCCTCTTACCAGCACCTTTGACAGGATGTAGGCGAACAGCTCAAACTGTTTTGCTTTCTGTGACACTCACCTGATCCATAGGAAACTTACATATCCTTGCCATGCTGAACAACAGATGTGCTGCCCTGTCATTGCTGCTCCAGTCGGCTTCCTGCCTTCAGAATTCTGACAAGCTACAGACAGCAGTGTCTATAGTAACACAGGCCTCCAAACTCCAAAGACATATAGGGCTCTCTTTAAAACTCTCTTTCCAGGCTCAGCACCTGTAGCTTATGGGCTAGGGCGCCAGCCACATACATCAGGGCTGGCCCAGGCCTGCCAAACAACAATGACAACTACAACAAAAAAAATAGCAGGTGCCTGTAGTCCCAGCTACTCGGGAGACCGCGGTAAGAGAATTGCTTGAACCCAAGAGTATAAAGTTGCTCTGAGCTGTGACACCACTGCACTCTGAGGGCAACAAAGTGAAACTCTATCTTAAAAAAGGCTCAGCAGGGCGGCACTTGTGGCTCAAAGGAGTGGGGCGCTGGCCCCATATGCCTAAGGTGACCAGATTTTAACATTGGTAAAGTGGGACACCATTGATGGGGAGGGTTTTTTTTTTTTTTTGAGACAGAGCCTCAAGCTGTCCCCCTGGATAGAGTGCTGTGGCATTACAGCTCACAACAACCTCCAACTCCTGGGATCAAGCAAGTCTTCTGCCTCTGCCTCCCAAGTAGCTGGGACCACAGGCGCCCACCACAACGCCCGGCTATTTTTTGGTTGCAGCTGTCATTGTTGTTTGGCGGGTACGGGCTGGGGATTCGAACCCGCCACCTTACGTGTACGTGGCTGGCGCCTTAGCTGGTTGAGCTATAGGCGCCGAGCCGGGGAGGGTTCTTAATTAAAAATTTGGTCTATATGGAGCAACAAAAATTTTCATAGAACACAAAAATAGTATTGTAATATTTTTTAATTTCAACATAAGTACAATTTACAAATATAATACATTTTAAAAATTATGTATAGTATTATTTTATTCTTTGGCATATTTCTCATTGAATTCTAACAACTGATCAACAATGCGAACTTTGATAAGCAGTTCTCGATAATCAGTTCTCAACAATTATTTGTTATTAAAGTTTAACATTATAAAATTTACAAAAATAATATAAAACTCATATCCTGGCGAAATAGCCACATGGCAGCCAAAAACCGTATATTCCCTTCCTGTTCTCCTGCTGTTCCCTAGCTTGTCGTCTATTCTTTCCAAAAATCAGGACTTTTTAAAAACACCACGGGACACGAGACAAATTGTTAAAAATCAGGACGTTTGCTCACCTTACATATGCCAGAGGTGGTGGGTTCAAACCCAGCCCTGGCCAAAAACTGCAAAAAAATAAATAAATAAAAAGAATAAAAAAGGCTGGGCACCCCCTAGCACAGTAGTAAGGGCGCCGCCCACATGCCCTGAGCCTAGCAGTTTGAACCTGGCCCAGGCCAGCTAAACAACAATGACAACTGCAACAAAAAAATAGCCAGTTATTGTGGCAGGTGCCTGTAGTCCCAGCTACTTATGAGACTGAGGCAAGAGAATTGCTTAAGCCCAGGAGTTTGAGGTTGCTGTGAGCTTTGATGCCACAGCACTCTACTGAGGACAGACATAGTGAGACTATGTCTCAAAAAATAAATAAATAAAAACCTCTCTCTCCTGGTCAAACTATAGCATCTGGAGGGGTGTATTTCTTTTTGTTTTTGAGACAGAGCCTCAAGCTGTCATCCTTGGTGGAGTGTGGTGGCATGACAGCTCACAACAACCTCAGACTTCTGGGCTTAAGTGATTCTCCTGCCTCCGCCTCCCAAGCAGCTGGGTATACAGGCACCCGCCATAACGCCTGGCTATTTTTTGGTTACAGCCATCATTGTTGTTTGGCGGGCCTGGGATTCAAACCCACCAGCTCAGGTGTATGTGACTGGTGCCTTAGCCACTTGAGCCACAGGTGCCAAGCCACATACTTCTTGATGACATTCCAAACTCAGCTCTCAAAGGCTCTCTCTGGGGCAGCACCTGTGGCTCAGTGAGTAGGGCACCGGCCCCATATACTGAGGGTGGTGGGTTTGAACCCAGCTCCAGCCAAACTGCAACAAAAAATTAGCTGGGCGTTATGGTGGGTGCCTGTAGTCTCAGCTACTGGGGAGGCTGAGGCAGGAGAATCACCTAAGCCCAAGAGCTGGAGGTTGCTGTGAGCTGTGACACCCCAGCACTCTACCGAGGGCGACAAAATGAAACTCTATCTCTAAAAAAAAGAAAAAGGCTCGGGCAGCACCTGTGGCTCAGTGGGTGTGGCACTGGCCCCATACATGGAGGGTGGCAGGTTCAGGCCCAGCCCCGGCCAAACTGCAGCAAAAAAATTGCCAGGCGTTGGCGGGTGCCTGTAGTCCCAGCTACTCGGGAGGCTGAGGCAAGAG